GCTCTTCATTATAATTATATTATTTGCGTCTCAAATCGATTGTGGTTAATGTTCGAATGTTTCAACGCACAGTCACATCTGAGATAATTAAAATTTAAAATTAAGAATATAATGTATTCACATAACATCTAACTTTGACCGATCACTGACGCTCTCTTATGTATGTATGTTTGTACATTTACACGGTCGAATCTTAATTCTTATTAATTTATTCACTTCTATGTTTATTACAATAACTGTGACAATCGATGTTGTAATAATCATATAGAAAAATTAAAGAAATTTATTTCCAAATTTTGTATGGCTAAATTATTTTTCATGGCTAAACTTCGTTTTCTAGTCAAGATGAATAAAATAAATAATATTAATTATAATTTAAACGTTCAATAACACAAATCGAATAAGCAGAAACGAAATGATTCTTAACTGAAAAATTCAAACAGTACAATAATGTTTACAGATCAGTGAAAAATTACATGTTTTGCTATTTTTCTTTTCTGATTCTCTTCACTGACCTTTTCAAAACAGTTTCTGTGAATATTTTTCTCGGCATAATCATTGTTTCGTATTTAGTAACACATCGGGATACCGTGCGGATGTAATGGCAGATCAAGGAGCAGATAATTGGGTGTGGAAACATTTTTCTAAATTGGACAATTTAAAAGTAAAGTGCAATACAGGTAATTGTGATAAAGTTTATATATTTTCTAAAAAAAGAAATAAAATGATAATGGCAATGAAAGGTCATTTATACCATAAGCATGACAAATGCACTGAAGAAGATCGCTTAAAATGGGAAAACAACCATAACTTGATGTGGCGATATTTCGACAAAGAAGACTTATACACAGAAAGATGTAAATTTTGTAAGAATTTATTTCGTCAACCATATATATCACATCTAAAGGCGCATCTACAATACCATAATCAAGAAATAAGAGCTGCTATACAAGAAGAAATTGCAAATAAGTCGCTATCGCAATATTATGAAATTCATGAGGAAGAATTTATTGCACGATGCAAACGTTGCAATGTTAAAATGAACATATTTTACGGGACAGATGCATTAATACATCACATTTGTATAAAAAAAGATGAAAGAAGAAAAGATGAATCTATAAGATCTCGACGAGAACCTGAAGATAATGACGGGAACAGAGTGACACAACAATCTATAGACGATGAAAATACAAGTACAAGTTCCCATCATGATAATATGAATACACAAGCTCCTGGAACTCGAGAAAAACAGCAAAGGTAACTGTTATATAATAAAAATGGCAATGTTTCACTTTTCTTAAGTTATTAATACATAATGTACACTTTAATACGCATTAAAAATTTAGTATATTACTAAATTTAATCTATTTACTTCAATGTTTATTTCAATAACAATGATAAACGGTTATATAGTAACCTGTAGTAAAAAGTCGAGAATGATTTCCAAATTTTATAAATTTCGACCAATTTTCATTGTTAAACTTTATTTTCAAGTCAAGATGTGTAAAATATGTAATATTAATCGTAATTTCATTGATTGATAACAGAAATCGTAGAAGTAGAAATTGAACTATATGATTCTTAATTAAAAGATTCAATCAATAATTAATCTTAACATATCAATGGAAAATTACATGTTTTACTCTCTTTCCTATCGTCAACCTCTTCTAAACAACTTCTCTAAACATTTTCTTTGTCTTGATCGGTATTTTGTATTTAGCAATACATCGGGATACCGTGCGGATGTAATGGCAGATCAAGGAGCAGATAATTGGGTGTGGAAACATTTTTCTAAATTGGACAATTTAAAAGTAAAGTGCAATACAGGTAATTGTGATAAAGTTTATATATTTTCTAAAAAAAGAAATAAAATGATAATGGCAATGAAAGGTCATTTATACCATAAGCATGACAAATGCACTGAAGAAGATCGCTTAAAATGGGAAAACAACCATAACTTGATGTGGCGATATTTCGACAAAGAAGACTTATACACAGAAAGATGTAAATTTTGTAAGAATTTATTTCGTCAACCATATATATCACATCTAAAGGCGCATCTACAATACCATAATCAAGAAATAAGAGCTGCTATACAAGAAGAAATTGCAAATAAGTCGCTATCGCAATATTATGAAATTCATGAGGAAGAATTTATTGCACGATGCAAACGTTGCAATGTTAAAATGAACATATTTTACGGGACAGATGCATTAATACATCACATTTGTATAAAAAAAGATGAAAGAAGAAAAGATGAATCTATAAGATCTCGACGAGAACCTGAAGATAATGACGGGAACAGAGTGACACAACAATCTATAGACGATGAAAATACAAGTACAAGTTCCCATCATGATAATATGAATACACAAGCTCCTGGAACTCGAGAAAAACAGCAAAGGTAACTGTTATATAATAAAAATGGCAATGTTTCACTTTTCTTAAGTTATTAATACATAATGTACACTTTAATACGCATTAAAAATTTAGTATATTACTAAATTTAATCTATTTACTTCAATGTTTATTTCAATAACAATGATAAACGGTTATATAGTAACCTGTAGTAAAAAGTCGAGAATGATTTCCAAATTTTATAAATTTCGACCAATTTTCATTGTTAAACTTTATTTTCAAGTCAAGATGTGTAAAATATGTAATATTAATCGTAATTTCATTGATTGATAACAGAAATCGTAGAAGTAGAAATTGAACTATATGATTCTTAATTAAAAGATTCAATCAATAATTAATCTTAACATATCAATGGAAAATTACATGTTTTACTCTCTTTCCTATCGTCAACCTCTTCTAAACAACTTCTCTAAACATTTTCTTTGTCTTGATCGGTATTTTGTATTTAGCAATACATCGGGATACCGTGCGGATGTAATGGCAGATCAAGGAGCAGATAATTGGGTGTGGAAACATTTTTCTAAATTAGACAATTTAAAAGTAAAGTGCAATACAGGTAATTGTGATAAAGTTTATATATTTTCTAAAAAAAGAAATAAAATGATAATGGCAATGAAAGGTCATTTATACCATAAGCATGACAAATGCACTGAAGAAGATCGCTTAAAATGGGAAAACAACCATAACTTGATGTGGCGATATTTCGACAAAGAAGACTTATACACAGAAAGATGTAAATTTTGTAAAAATTTATTTCGTCAACCATATATATCACATCTAAAGGCGCATCTACAATACCATAATCAAGAAATAAGAGCTGCTATACAAGAAGAAATTGCAAATAAGTCGCTATCGCAATATTATGAAATTCATGAGGAAGAATTTATTGCACGATGCAAACGTTGCAATGTTAAAATGAACATATTTTACGGGACAGATTCATTAATACATCACATTTGTTAAAAAAAAAAAAATGAATCTATAAGTTCTGGACAAGAACCTGAAGATAATGGACAGAATGACACAACAATCTATAGACGATGAAAATACAAGTACAAGTTCCCATCATAATAATATGAATACACAAGCTCCTGAAAATCGAGAAAAACAGCAAAGGTAACTGTTATGTAATAAAAATGTTAATGTTTCACTTTTCTTAAGTTATTAATACATTATGTACGCATTAAAATTTTAGTATAACGCTCAGGGTGTCTCAAAAAAACGGATCGAAACACAATGGGGACGTAGATTGGATCAAGGGGAACAAAACAGTTTTGTACCATTTTGCAGTTGACGCAATATTTAACGAGATATTAACGTTTAAAGATAGGCGAATACAAGCGTGCGACCAGCCTACTGCTCATGTACTGCTGCCGGCAGGACGGCCTACCATCCCCACCGATCGCATGTCGCGCCGGCCGGGGGGCGTGGGCGGGTCGCGAGGTGCGGGTATAGCCTGGCAAGCGAGCCACTCAGAACGGCGCACATGGGGAGGAGAAGGATAGCGCTTGAGCAGTAGGCTGGTCGGACGCTTGTATTCGCCTATCTTTAAACGTTAATATCTCGTTAAATATTGCGTCAACTGCAAAATGGTACAAAACTGTTTTGTTCCCCTTGATCCAATCTACGTCCTCATTGTGTTTCGATCCGTTTTTTTTTAGACACCCTGTATAACGCTTTAATACGCATAAACCATACTTAGGGGATCATCCAAAAACATATCATTAGCAAGAATTAAAAGATGCGATAGAAAAAGAAATTGCAAATTATTTACTACACGTAAATTTCACAATCGATATGATGACCTTAACCGCAAGCTGCAACTATTGTAATTATTCTGTTAGTATATTTTATACCTATAAAGGAATAGATGACTTATATATAAGATTTCACTATCAATATCATGAAAATGAAAATTCAAAACTTGAAGCAGCTGCAGATAATTACGAGTATAGAATGATACAACAAGACGTAGCAGTAAAAAATATGGCTACACGTTATCATCATGAAAGTATATATTCGCAAGATCTTGAAAATCAAGAAGGTCAACAGAGATAAATGATACTATATAACATCAATATATTTTATTCTTCTAGAAGGTTCTTCTATTAGTATATTCTATTATAAACAATTAGAACAACCAAATTGAACAATTAACGATTAATGATATAGAATTTATAATTTCGTGTCAAACATTTTTAGCAAATATGATTTGAATGTTCTATTTATGTCCAAATTAAAAATATATTAACTAATGAATGTATATCAAGTTCTGAAGGACATACATGGATAGCGCGCGCGCGCGCATGATACAATTCCTTTTTCACGATGTTTCGAGTGTAAGTTGTCACCATGATAGTTCAAACTAGCAAGCTCTTGGATATCAAATAGATCAACAGAAGTATATGCTACTAATTTAATATATCAAACTTTACTAATATCAAAATTCGTGACTCAATATTCTCTCTATGATAAAAATGCTCTCGAAAAATTAATTAACTGTCAATGTTTGCACGTTACGAATGGATATTCAAAATTTCAAGAAAGAACTAACGTCAGAAAAAATAATATGATGTGTATAGATGCATCAGTCCGTAGCAGCAGAAAATATGGCTACAAGTTATCATTTTGGAAGTACATATTGACAAGCGCCAGGAAATCGAAAAGATCAACAAAGGTGACTATTATATTACAACGATATTAATATTTTTTTTTAAGTTATTAATTTATTACGCAAAATTGAAATAACATTATAACAAATTTAATATTTAAAGGAATGCTTTAAATTTCAAATAATTTACTTATATATTTTATAAAGTTACGTAATCAAATTATATAAAATTGTTTATACATAAATCTGTATTATGTTCTGTTAATTCGAATATGCCATTATTTACAGGATGTCCCATTTTTATTACTGCAGAGAACACTTTGAAAAATACGTAACTTTTAAACAAAAGTTGCATTTGAAAGCGGACAAAGAATGGTAGAAATCAGTTTTTGAAAAAAATGATTCTTTATAGTCATATGGAAGTTATAACCACACTTTCTAAAAAGAATTATATCATTTTTTTTTACATTGCAAGGATTTTTTCTAATTAATCTATTTATTAAAACATTACAGCAGAAATATCAATATTTTACAATGTATGTCATACCACATTTCAATACACTTTGACATAAAAGATAAAATATTCGTTAAACTACTAATTTTTTTGTAAATGTACTTTTATGCAAGCAAACGAGAAAGTTAATGTTTATAAAGGAAACACACGGTTGCTTTTCAATAAAACTATACAGTCGGCCACATCGATTCATATTATCTTCAAATAGCAATTATGTGTTTTTTTTCCTCAATTGATTGATCTCGTTACTCCATGTATTAAGTATTAAGATTCGTTTATCAAAGATTAATGTTTTATGATATATTTCTTATTTTATGTCAAAATGTGTCAAACTAAATATACGACAACCCGTAAATAATTGATTTCTTGATCTGTATTGTAATATTCTTATATGCAGGATAATGATAGAAATATCACGTAAAAGAGATTATAAAATTCTATTTAAAAATTGTCATAATTATTGTATGTATGACAATAAAAAAACATATTTTGTTGAAAATTTATTTTAGAATTACTTGTCGCATTTCAGGCCATAGAACTTTTGTTTGAAATGTTTTTCCATATCTTTATATTTTTCGAATCTTCTTTGTTTGCTTGATACTTAAAATACGACACTCCATATGTGTAATCGATATATTCAGTAATTAATATATGTTATTGTACATGAGTAATTGCGCAATTATTATGAAATCTAAATAGTAGCAGCGAGCTTGGAAATTCTTTTTTAAGAAGCATGAATAAAAGAGAGAGAGCTGAAGACTCCCCTAGTATTGACTGAATAATCAAATAATATATACGTGTTTGCAATATGATCTTGTCCTTGTTATACATCAATATTTATCCGACTTTTTAACTACGTTGTATGTACTTATAGTTCCAATGAAGAATCTATCTCATCACAAAATGTAGCGATCGTATTTGTAATGTCAGTAATTACAATTAATTATTTTGATTTTGATATTAAAACATATATTATGAATAAACGGGCGCTCTTGACAAATATTTACACGCTCTGCATTGTAACGTAAAGCAATATTATGATTAAAGCAACTTTCTTATAAAAACATAATTTACATATTGTATTTTATTAGAATTGTTTATGAATTAATAAAGTATCGCGTTACATCAATAATTTATCAGAACGAATTTTATATGTAAAAGCGACTTACTGTAACACAAGTTTTAATTTTATATTTTGACACTCGCGTTGAAAGCGTTATATAGATGAAAGAAGCACTGATGAGAATCCTAAACGAAGGATCGAAACGTTTGCGTAATTTATTTTATATGATATTCGAATAAACACACCAATAACACATATACCAGTAACACATACATCTGTGTCGGCTCTTATTGGCATGATTACTCGAATGATTTTATTTGCAAGAGCCTATAATTTCCATATTATTTGAGTACCGTTAAAAATTTGAATCATATTTATATCAATGTATAAATTTAATATTATATTTTGTATAACATCTCATGTCATCTATAATAATATGTCATGGTTAATTCGTATATACAAGGTGTTTCTCATTTGATGCTTCAAACACAATTATACTTTATTCCCAAAAATGCTTCTAAAATGGAACTTACGTTGTTTTGAGGGGCTCCTTTTTGATGGTTCATCTCAAAATGTCCATCTCAAAATGGACGTTCTTCTAACTATATGATTTCAAGGTGTGCTGTACTTTGTTCAAAATGGAGTTTTATAGTTTTTTTTACATAATATGCTTCCTGTACTTTTCTACATATGAAAGCATTCAGATAGAGATGCCAAAAAATCATTAATTTACGAGATATTTTATATTTTGTTTTAGCACAGAGCAGAATAATAAAATGTATTAATTTATGTTAAGAAAACACCTTGATGATTATTTAAAAAGCCATTCATTTTGCTTACATGTAATGTTATAATGATTATGTATTTCCTTTATTTAAATTTATTAATCTTATTATACTGTTCATAAAAATATTACGATACGATTATAGGAAATTAATAGTATATGATGTATTTAATATCAGATGTCAATATGTCACATAATAAAGTACAACATAACTCGTAAATTAATGATTTGTTTTGTTATTTCCATTTTATTATTTTTATTTGCAAAGTAATTAGAGGAACCATATTATGTAAATAAATATATATATATTATTCCATTCGAAAAAATAAACGTCACCTTGGTATCTTGAAGGCATGTTCGCCTAGAAAAGATCTGTAATATTAGGAAAATTTGTCTTCCTCGAAAATAAGTTTCACTTAAGATATATTTTAGTATAACGAATAGTCCGACAGATAATTGCGTTCTAAGTTTAAAATGATACGTCCTGTATGTATTAGATATGTTGTAAAGTATATCCTGATAATGCTGACGGATAATACTCCTATTGTTTAAAATAATTATTTTCTATTTATTCAAATGCAGATATTTACAATTTGAATATTTGGAGTATTATTATTCTAATATTAAAATCTCTCTCTTTTTTCTGATTGACAAATATTCTAATCTGTATATAACATTCATTTAATGTTAGTTACTTTAGATTTTTGATAATAACGTTTAACATACTATAATTGATTGTAATGTAGTTATTGTGAAATTAATGTAATTGAAACATGCTTCGAATATCGTATTTGTATTTCGAAAGTTGATGTATAATTAGATTATAATATGGTTAACGAAAAAGGAACGCACTTTAATTAAAAAGATTTACTTTTAAAAGTATACCTCCTCTTATTTATTTTATCCGTAATTAATTAGAGATATGCATTACTTATTATAACATATGGTTCACATTCTATCTTTTCTTTTTTTATTAACTTGTCTGTTAACGTTAAACGTTTTCCAAAAGAAAGAATTTTTTTAGCGTAACAATATTTTACGATGATTAATGTCTTAATGTTTGCATTGTTTTTACATCTGCAATTGCGCTTATTTTTATTTTCTGATTTATGTTCATGAGCCCAATTTACAAGTAATAGCATTCAATATTCTTATTTTTTATTTAGAAGTAAAATCCATATAATTAAATATAAATCTTATAACTTAATACTCTACTGTAAGTTACAATAAATTTAATAAGCATTAAAATATTGAAATGATTTAATAAATCAGTTCATATTTTTATACTTGGATTGGAATAAGACTATGGAGTTTTGTTATTTATTATTAATGTAATAATTTCAAAGAAATTATAATGACTTCTTTTGAAAAAGATTTTCTTCAATCATTTCTTACTTAATATTTAGTATATGATTCAGTTAGTACTTGATTTCATAAATTATAATATTTAAATTTACAAAATATTCTATTTAATGCATTTTGTGTAATGTAGTAAAAAATGTTTTGGCATACCTTGTTAAAATATAAAGTTAAAAATTTTTTTTACAGTATCAATAGTAATGCATTTAATCAATATTCCTTTCAAAATATATATTAGCGTGAAAAGTCAACATGATTGTATTAATTAATGGCTTTCTTAAAAAATATTAATTTTTTACAATCATCAGAGTATTGTAAAAATTAATTATTTTCCGCAATTGTCACTTAATTGTAATAATTTGTTTTACTAAACATCAGTTTTTTTCAAGCTATTACTATAATGTAAAAATTACTGCTTTGATGCAATTGTCGATTTTATACAACTATTGAATAAATTTTATTTTATGCGATAGTTGTGTATTGCTTAAATTATAATACACATGTGTCGCAATAAATAAATTCTCTAGTTATCAGTTGATGTCTTCACTTATCACTTGGATATGACTAGGGAATTTATTTATTGCGATACAGGTGTACCATAATTTAAGCAATACACGACTGTCGTATAAGATAAAATTTGTTCAAACATCGACAATTGCATAAAATTAATTTCTGCAATATGGCAGTAATTTCGAAGATACTGATATGTAATTAAACACATTTTTATGATAAACTGACAATTTAAAAAAGTAATGAATTTTTACAATACTTTAATAATTGATAAAAATAAATAATTTTTTTAATACAAAGAAATTTTGTATAACTATATTTACAATTATTGCAATTATCGATTTTTTGCAATACTGTGCGTGTTGCAAAAAAGTCTTAATTATATAAAAATGGTTACATTGTAATGGTTACATTATCATGGTTACATTGCATTCGTAATGGTTACATTGTCATGATTACATTGCATTCGTAAAGGTTACATTATCATGCGGTCGGTCGTATTGTATAATATGTGTGTACCCGTTGTATAACAAGTGCAAACTCTGAAACCTGTAATTAATAAAAATTATGCAAGCACAGTATAATATTGTTAAAAATTAATGAGAGTAGAAAATATATTAATTAGAATATGTACTGAAATTTTGAGAAAAGATAGATAAATCATATTTTTACATATACAATTTGTACATCTTCTCGTGTACACTGTACGATCTCGTATACGTAATGAGAATATATGGACGCTCTTTGCTTTTTCTCGTATACACGAAGTACCATTAATG